AGTGGATCACCTTTCCAGACTTGAAGGTCCCGGGGGGAGCACGTTCCAAAGAGAGATTAATGACACTTTCCCAGACGAAAGGTTATTCTTGCTTGTCATGGCTGAGAGTGCAACCCCGTGATTCGCCGACTTCGCCAATTATTTGGTCGAACGGCAGCTCTCGAAGGGGATGAATACAATTGAAAAAAATAAAGTGTTTTTCCGACCTCCGATACCACTTTTGGGATGATCCTCACCTTTTTCGGATCGGGGCCGATGGGATCATTCGAAGGTGTGTACCAGATAGGGAAATGATGGCTATTCTTAGCCAATTTCATGAGGGACCAACTGGAGGGCATAGCGGTGGGAACCGCGCCGCAAGGAAGGTGCTTCAATCGAGCTTCTACTTGCCTTTGCTATTCTGGGACACTAATTCATTCGTCTGGCGTTGTGATAGCTGCCAACGAACATGTAATGTCTCTAACCAAAATGAGATGCCCCAAACAGTTTCCATCATATGTGAGATTTTCCAAGTTTCCCTTGTCTTTTGGAAATAAGTACATTTTAGTAACCGTGGACTACGTCTTAAGGTGGGTGGAGGCTCAAGCCCTCCCTACCAATGATGCAAGACGAGTCTGCGAATTCCTGAAGAAATTGTTTTCACATTTTGGGACCCTGAGGGCCATCATTAGTAATCGAGGAACCCATTTTCAAGGGCAATTCGAGAAACTCCTCGATCACTATGGTGTCACCCATCGGGTTTCCATGGCCTACCACCCTCAAACAAGTGGTCAGTTTGAATTGTCAAATAGGGAACTTGAGAGGATTATGGAAAAGACCGTGGACCAATCCCGCAAGGAATAGTCTGCAAAACTCGATGATGCGTTATGGCCATACCGCACGGCCTACAAAACACCAATAGGCATCTTGCCTTGCCAATTGATATATGGCAAAGCGTGCCATTTTCCCTTAGAGCTAGAGCATAGGGCTTTCCGGGCCACCAAACTGTTGAATATGGACCCTACTTTGTGTGAAATTGAGAGAAAGCTGCGGGTGCTCAAACTCGAAGAGTGGCGCCTTCACGCCTATGAGAACACAGGATTTACAAGGAGAAGACGAAGCATCTCCATGACGCAAGACTAACAGGGGGGGAAGACTTTCAACTGGGGGAGCAAGTGATTTTGTACAACTCTCAGTCCCGTCTTTTCCCCGGGAAGTTGAGGTCAAAATGGTCAGGCCCGTACTCGATTACCCGAGTGTTTCCCTACGGTGTGGTGGAGATTTCCCACCCGGAGCAAGGGATCTTCAAAGTAAACAGACGCTGCCTCAAACGTTACCTCTGCGACTAGGTAATGCCCCAAAAAGAGGTGGTGTTCCTCCATGATGTTTAGCCCAAAGTCTTCGTCTAGCTTAAGAATTTAAAATAGCGCTAGTTGGGAGGCAACCCAACAGAGTTATATCTTTTGAATCGTGATGTGAAACTTTGTTATGTGTAATAACCTCGCCTCGAGGGAGAATGTACGTGTGTTTGTGTTTTGTTGCTGTTTTCCCTTTGAAGCTCAAACATCATTCTCCAACTTTCATTCACCAAGCCATGCGGTAACATCGTTCTACCCCCTATTTTACTCCATTGAGGGCAATGTTGAGCTTAAGTGTGTGTGTGTGTGTGTGGGGGGGGGGGGGTAGTTTATTATTATGCTTGTGTTTGTGATTGAATGCTTGGAGCATTTGAAAATTTTGAGGTCTACAAGCAATGCATGATAAAAATGGCCGGTTGGTAGGTGAATCTTATGCTTATTTGGCATCAAACTTGAATTGTTGGAAGTAATCGAGTGCCTCCTATTATGATGACTGAGAATGCATTAGGGTTGTGCAAAAGCTGAGTTCTCATGTGTGCTTAAATGAATGGATGTCTTGACTTGGTTACTTCTTGATTATAACTGCCATGCATTGAAGTTTTTGAAATCAGAATAGATGATTGGGTGGCTAGGTAGCCATGTGAGATTTGTGTCGATCGTCTTTTTCATGCGTGATAGATCCCTCTTGCCATGGTGTGTAACATTCACCGTTGTCACTAGTAAGTATAATGGAGGCATAGGATTAATATAAGCCCAAAACTTGATTGTCCCGAAACATCTTATCCCCTAGTGAACCCCTTTGAGTTGTGTGACCTTGGGGGTCGTTCTAATGCAAGGAGCATCGTGCTTGTTGAGCTTAATGGTGATTGAAAGAACGACCCACCCATCCTTTATTTGTGTCAAAGTGTGAGTCATCCTTGTGTCTCGGAGTTCTCGCTTTTGAGCTCCATCGAGGTCCTACATAGGTGGTTTTGCACGGTTCTTGCTAGAAATGAGAAGGTAGCGTTGGAGGAAATTTCTTAATGGAGAGCATTATTCGTTTAAGGATAAGTGGCAAGCGTTGTACTCTCTAGTACCACCCTCTAAAAAAAGAGAAAGAAAGACGACCTATCAATTCTATTTTCTTATTAAATTCTGGCACGTTATAGGCGACGAAGTTACTGCCCTATTGACGAAGAGTTTTGATACAGGAATGATGCCTAAGGGATTAAACCATAATTTGATATTTTTATTGCTTTAATCCCAAAAGTCAAAGTACCAAAAATGCCCAAGGAATTTCGACCCATTAGTCTATGCAATGTCACGTACAAGATTTTGGCGAAAGCATTAGCTAATCGGTTGAAAACTACCTTGGATACTATAGTCTATCCGGAGTATAGCGCTTTCGTACCGGGAAGGTTCATTGCTGATAACGTCATGTCGGCGTTTGAGTGTTTCCAACCGATGAAGAAAAAAAAAGGCGAATACTGGTTACTTTGCGGCTAAGATGGATATGGCGAAAGCCTATGATCGGGTGAGTGGTGGTTCTTGGAGGAGGTAATGAGACAGATGGGTTTTGATGAGAGATGGATCCAGTTAATAATGATGTGTGTGACGTTTAGGCCGAGTTGAGGTCTTCGACAAGGGGACCCTCTATCACCCTACCTTTTTCTTCTGGTGGCCGAGGGACTGTCTTCATATACTGCTAAGGATGTTCGGGAGAAACGTATATGTGGCATTTCGGTTGCCAGAGGAGCGCCGGTGGTATCTCACTTGTTTTTCGCTGACGACTCTTATCTTTTTTGCTAGGGTCACTGTTCAGGGGAGTACGAAGTTAAGGCTAATATTGCAGGACTATGAGAAGGAGTCAGGCCAACTTGTTAGTCTAGAGAAGTCAGAGGTCACGTTCGGAAAAAATGTTAAGCATCATCAACAGCTTCATGTGAGCTTGATCCTGGGAATGAAGATTGTTGAGAAGCATGATAAGTATTAGGGGCTGGTCACTCAGGTGGGGAGATAAAAAAAAAGGAGCTGTTTATCTACCTGAAGGAGAGGGTTTGGAAGAAACTATCGGGATGGAAGGAGAAGATGATGTCAGTAGCGGCAAAAGAGGTCCTTATAAAATCATTCGTTCAAGCGCAATTGACATGCACTATGGTTGTGTTCAAAGTATCCGAAGGGATCATTGACGATATACACAGTATGATTACGAGATTCTGGTGGGGACAAAAGGGGGAAGAGAAGAGGATTCTGGGGATTGCGCGGGAGGAGCTAATTTGTCCAAAATGAACGGGTGGTATGGGTTTCTGTGACCTCCGCGGTTTTAATATAGCTCGCCAACTATGGAACATCTATCAACGCCCGGACTCTCTTGTTGCCCATCTGTTACGCGCAAAAATATCATAAATACAGCTCAGTTTTGTATGCTAATATTGGGGACATAAGGGGGAAGAGAAGAGGATTTCGTGGATTACACGGGAGGAGCTAATTTGTCCAAAATGAACGGGTGGTATGGGTTTCCGTGACCTCCGCGGTTTTAATTTAGCTCGAGATGGCAGTTATACGGCGAGAGAGGGATATATGAGGTGGCGGGAGCAGTTCCTTGCCGAGAAGGGAATAATTGGGACGAGGGACTCCGCAATGTGGAAGAGCATCTGGGCAATGAAGGTCCCACCGAAGGTGAAGATATTTATGTGGCGCTTTGCGCGCGAATCGTTGGCAACACGTGATCATCTTAGTGAGAAGTCCCCAAAATATGGTGATGCGTGCCCTTTCTGTAACTTACGTGAAACACATATTCATCTTTTCTATGAGTGTGTCTAGGCGACCAGATTGTAGCGAGCATCCCACGTAGTGAATTTATTTGCACTTAAGGGTATTGTGAGCTGTATGGAATGGGTGGCTAAGTTTGTCTCAAGTGTTCCTGATACTATCAAAGAATATTGGTGCATGCTGCTTTGGACGTTGTGAGAGGTGTCCCCGCTAGTCCACTTGACATTCGAAACCCCTCTCTTCCTCTCCAAATTCTCCCTGCCCATCTCTCCTTCTCCAAAACCCTAACATCCAAAACCCCTCTCTTCCTCTCCAAATTCTCTTTCCTCTCCATCCAACCCCAACTTGCACCGGGAAAATCCACCGTAATCTGAATGGGCGACGGCCCACGAACCTACCCTGGCGGAGTATCGCGCTGGCAGTGGAAACAGATGCAGGTCAAGAAAGCCAAACAACTCCTCAAGGCTTGGCTGAGCCGCGAGAGGCAAATCTACAAAATGCGGAAGCGAGCCAAGCTTAAGGCAGCGGTCACCGAACAGGAACGTCCTTGGGATGTTTTCAACTAGGCTCCCACTTTATTTTCGGTGGGTGCTGATGAGCAGGTGAAGGTTTTGGCCGATAGGTTTCAAAATTCAGGTGGGTTTGATTTGTGCACGGAGAGACATGCCCCCCAATTGTTCAAGACCCATGATGATGGCATCCCTTCCGCTAGATTTTCCCCTAAAGGGGTCCTTTAGAGCGTGAGGCTATACAGGAAGGTTGCTTGGCTTGATGATGAGTTGGAGGATGATGAACTGGGTGATTTGTCGGGTATGGAAGGGGAAAATGGTGTTCGCAGAATTGGAGTGATGGGAAGAGGTATTCTGTGGTTTAAAAATGGGAACTTTTCTAAGAGAAATTATGATTCGGAAGATGGGAGTTCGCAGCATTCCACTGGCAACTTTGGGGGTGCACAAGTACGAGAGCATTGGGAGGAGGAGAAATGGAGGTCAAATGGGGAATAGAGGGAGTGGAAGGTTTGGGAATGCTAATGGGGAAATGGAGTTGATTCATGTTGGGTTTCAGAGGACGTTTCCAAGAAGGACATTATCTAGTAGAAGCGAAATCAGGAGCAGTAGGGTTCATAACGATGGAGAAAGCGACGATGGAGGTTTCCAGAATGGCGGGAATCATGAGTCTGAAATTTATGGTTTGAGTTCCCAATACCGCATAAATCATAGGGTAAGTAGGACTTCGTCAAACAGAAACAAGAGCAATAATACTTGGATCCATAACAGTATTGATGAAGAAGGGGAGGCTTGAAGTTTCGGGAAAGGCATGAATTGTGACTCTGAAATTTTTGGTTCGGGTTCCCAATCCCACATAAATCATAGGGTAATGACTTCTTCCAGCAGAAATAAGAGCAGTAATACTTGGATCCATAACAGTAGTGACGAAGAAGGGTAGGCTCGAGGTTTCAGGAAAGACAGGAATCGTGACTCTGAAATTTATGGTTCGAGTCTCCAATCCCAGATTAATCATAAAGGCAAAACTTTGTCAAGTAGAAGTGAGAGCAGGACTACTGGGATCCATAACAGTAGTGATGGTGAGGCTCGAGTTTTAGGAATGGTAGGATTTTGGACTCTGAAATTTATGATGTGAATTTTGAATCTCATATTAAGCATAGAGGAAGGACTATATCTAGGACAAGTGAGAGGAGGACTACTAGAAGCATTCAGAACAATAGTGATGGTGATCCCCGGAATGCCAGGAATTCAGGCTCTGAGATGTATGATCGGAGTTTCCAATCCCTAATAAAGCACAAAGGAAGGACCATTTCAAGCAAAAGGGACTACAGAACCAGTAGTAGCATTCGGAAGGACAATGGTATGACCAGAAGTCGAGATGGGGTGAATTCCAGGAGTTCATGCTCTAAAGTTCCTAGATTTGGGCCAGACGCGATGGTTGGGATAATTTGATAAATAATATAAACAACAATTACAATCATAAGAAGCACAAAACATTTTTTTAAGTATTATAAAAGAGTAAATTATTGGGAACATTTCAAAAGGATATATATATCATAAAAGTATTAGACGCCCTAAGCGATTCACCAACTAAACTAAAAGTATTACCGCATTTGCATGTACCCACTAATAATAATTCCTTCATTTTCATCACTGAAAACATGACCATTATCTTACTCTGGTAACGGTTAATTAGTTACCGATGTTATTAATTATTCTTAGAATATGGATTTGTTTTGAAGGGTAGCCATGAGAATAATTGTGTGGATTCGTTATTTGACCATTTTTGGTGGCTTTTAATTGAGTGTTCAAATAATATTAGATTTTGTGTGGGTCTTGTATATTTGTACTTATTAAAGAATAAACAAAAGATTTAACGAATCAATTATCTCATTGTTCGTCCGCTCTAATCCTCTCAATTTTATTCTCTCTAAACCCTAATTTTACTCTACCCCCTGAATTTCTATCGATTCTCTTATAGCCCTGCGTCCCTAAATGCTCTAGTGTCAATCCAGTCTCAATTCTTCCTCGTATGATAATTTATTTATTTCCCTTATTTTGCCTAATTCTCTTCTAATCATATCTTTATATTAATCAATCTCTGATTTCAAAATCAGATCGCTCGTCAATTTGTGTCAAAGTCTGGTTATCCTAGCACCCAACACCATCATCTATGTCGTTCCAGCTCCCACATTAATCGTATTTACTTGAAAGTTTTGAAGGATATCTTAGTGCCTGAGAATAAGCAAGTATTGTCTTCAATTAAGAAGGATGATGCAATTACTTTTTGGTGTCAGCAGCGTGAACTGCAAATTTTCCATTCAGCTGCCACATTATGCCTCCCCGAATTTCTATAAATTTTCTTCAAATTACTCTTAATTCTCCTAATCTCCATCTATTTCGGTTCTTCCTTATCATGTAGTTTATTTATCTCATTAATATTGGCCAATTCTCATTTAATTGTATCTTTCAATTAATCTATCTCGGGTGCCAAGAGTCTTCCCTCATCAGATTCACTACCTCCACCATTAGTATACTCTTTTCTTCTTCTCTTGCATTTTATTGAAAGCAAAATTTTAATCATTAAAAGTTTGCAAATATGACATATCATTTTAGCTAAAGTAAAATTTACCATTATGTTAAAACGGTATACTCATTTATAGGGTTTGCGGGGTGGTAATCCTGAGCATGATGTCAAACTTCAATTCCATTGCCTCGATTTTATAGTAGATAAGGAGGTTAAGGTTCTCTCATTTTGTAATTGATTTGTAATATTTTTCTAGCAAGACTTTACAAAAATTTAACTTTCATGTGATCCAAAATTACAAATTTGGATTTATCGTTTGTGTCCACAATAGGAGTTCGATCCTGAATCCGTAAAATGACAACAAATGAGATTCACTAAATGGCATCCACTATTTATTAAAAGAATTTACGTTTCAGTGGGTATGATATTTTTTTATCGAATTTATGAATTTGAAGTTGAAAATAATGGAAGAATAGAAATAAATTAACACCTACATGTTGTCTTCCTAATATCATTGTACAATTCTCACAAAAGTACTCGTCAAAGTCTTCTTTAACTTTTCGAAACAAGTTACATATGCAACATATTTACACTGTTGTATTCCTAACTTTAACAACTTTGCATTTGATGAAATACGCACTGCCCAAAATACTACTGAAAAAGTAAGCATTTACGTATTAGTGACTCTTGTTATATTAAAACTCGTATTTTCTTTATCCCCATCATGTATTTTCAATTTCACTCTTCCAATGTTTTTGTGGGATTGGTGGTCATATTTGATGTATGACTCTCACGGGAGGAAGTGGTTCATCTTATCACTTCCATTAAAAAAATTTACTATGGCACCAAATTTGGGTTTTTACTCTAACTCATACCACACAACAAAATACATAAATTAAAATGATATGAATTTCATCTTAGCCCAAAATGATTTACTTCCATAATTTATAGATTTGCCAGTATCAAGGTGAGTGCAGATGAAAACAATGCCATCTCATTTGCAAAATTAATGATCCATTACGTAATCAAGCATCCAAATGACATTTAACTGGTATCTATCCTGCCCCATAGTCACAATTTGGAAATTCATATTTTAAGCGCGTCCTAGATACACATAGGAATGATAGTATTTCCAAAGTCAATCTGTTTTAAATTCATGACCAAATAACAATTATCTTCATAAAATAATATATTTCGAATATTTAAATGATATATCCTATCCAACAAACTCACTAAAGGTTAGAACTTTATAAATTTGTATGTGACTAAAAAGGATAATATTGTACTTTGAGATCAACTGTGATGTAAAAGACACATTTGGCTTGAAATTTCAAATAAAGCAGTTTCGTTTGATTTTCTTAATGGACAAATTTGGCTCAAAATTTTTGACCGTTAATATTGAGGTCAAACATTTCTTCGATCTATTGACTCATTTTACAATGTTAAGGTTGTTACAACATGACTTCCACATCATTTATTTATAACAAAAATATAAAAATACTTAGAAAACTAAAAACATCAAAATTTAAAAAATATTTTAAATAAGATCATAAAATATTAACAGTCTAACTAAATTTCAAGCTAAATTTGTACGTTTTATTCAAATTTCCAAGCTGACTTATTTGAAAATTTCATTAAGTGGTGTGTAAGTTGTGATGAACTTTTGCAAGTTCTAAATGGTACACTTGGTTAAAAGGCTTCCTGTTGCCAAATAGAATTTTTTTATTAACCATAAAAAATTCATTAGGCCAATTTTTTTCCTTTCGTTAAAGTTCGTACCAAAAAATAGTGTATTCTCCCCCTTTTATAAATAAATGGCTAGAAAGAAACGTCACAACCATCTCATAATTGAATGTTGAGTTATAGACGAAATAAATATTTGACAATCTATATTAGATGTCTATCTAAATTTCGGGCCAAATTTGTCTATTTCTTTCAATATTACATAAAAAATTATTATTTTAAAGTTCAGACCAAAATTGTCTGGTCCATAATAAAATATTATCCCTATCTAAAACTAATAGTTACATTGACATGATATCCACATGTTTTGGAAATTGGATTATGGATTAATGGTTGATCTTTGCTTTGAAACCGTTATGATTTTAATATATGGATTTCATTTTAATGGGATTGAGTGAGAAGTAAATTAGGCCAAGCCTATGTATATTGTACTACACAGTAGAAGAAGCATTGGATCGGGATTGAATGGGGGAGGGGGGATCATTGGTCCAAAAAGACTATAGAGTCCTTCCTTCAGTTGCGGAGGAAGCTGCATTTTACAATTGGGTGTACTTTGACGGGAATATGTATGTAGTATTGGGAGGAAGGAAGGATGATACGAGTTTGCGACTGGATGGAACTTATGGACTTCCAGATGGTCAGTACTGAGTCCAACTGAGTCTCACATGGATTGGCTATTTGAGTAGAACCATTCTGGCTTTGGTTCCGCTGACTAAGTTGAACAAAAGAGGTTACAGGTAGTGGGCATGAAATGAGCATCTGGATGTTCAAAAGACCTCCATCAGTCGTGAATCGTGATCGTGTTTTCAGTTGTGGCTGGCCACTGGTTATCAGTCTGAAGAGGTAATCGTTCCAATCTTCAACAATCGGTTGATGCTGTATCAGTCCATGTATCAGAACTCATGAATTGTGGTTGTGGTCAAGCTGTGCAGTACACTCTGAACCCCAATACTCTTAATGGAATACAACTACTTGTTATGTACTCCGAGCACGTATGACACCTTCGGTCGGTAGCAACTGGAAGGGAAAATGTGAAGAACATGAAAATAAATTTGTCGTCATGGGTATATAATCAAGAATTCTCAGAGGCTTCAAACATTGTTTCCTTGTGAAGAGGTGCATGACTCGACTCTGTAGATAGCAACTTCACTTGTTCTTCCTAATTTGCTAACCAATTGCCTTCCTTGGTGGGCTGTTTAGTACTAACCTCCACTTTTAACCTGCCCTATTGTCAATACCTCAAGTTCGTGAAAGATGATGTTTCTGCTACCAGAAAGTCAAATGATTTTCCTGATTATCTGAATGAATGAGCCTGAAAATTATCCTATATCACGTGTACTTGCTGAAGTGAAGCAGAGCATCCATTTACCGAGACCAAGCATAAATTTACTTTCATAAGCTATCTGTAAATACACCATGGAAGTTGTTCTTTTCGTTGCATTTGCAGAAAACAGAGAAGACATAAGTATATCAAGTCCATGGGAAAACAGCACCAGGAGTGGTAAATTCAATGATACTATGATACT